CCCCCCCCCACTGTACTACATGATCGGTGGTTTCTCCAGCGGTAGTAGTGTAAGGCTGCATGCACGACGAGAGGGGAGTCGATCTGCGCAAGGCGACGACATCCCAGTCGCGCCACAGCAACCAGAACATTCGAGCTGTCCTGTCTCATACTTCTGAATAGTGCCCGGTGTCCGCTAAAATGCAGAGGCCGAGCTCGTTGACACTGCGGGGCATCGTTCGGAGACCGCATGCGATGCACATCGCGTGTGCGAGAAGGGCGCGTCGATTCGTCCGGACACTGCTCATCGCAACAGCCGCACCCCACGGCGGTAGTTCGGATCAAACACACATCCGCCAGCACAGACAGCCGGATAGATAGCGCCGTTGGTGTGCAAACAACAGCGATACACACAGAGAGCGGGACACGCACAGAACCGGGGGCAGCAAGTACGCCAACAACAGCAACAACAGCATGCGGTGCTTGTGGAGGCGCCCCCCACTCTCCCTGAACACCCAGCAGTCGGCAGACACAAACCCCCTTCTCTCGGTTTGCGCCCCGCCCATCTCGTAAACACACGCACCTGGCGAGGTTAAGCTGCACCGCGGCGAGTGTCGAGTCAGGCACTCCTTCCGGTAGCGCATCCCTGGAGAAGACCTTCCACGCCTCCTCGATCACCTTTAAAAAAATAAAAAAATAAAAAACGATCCCAGATGAATGTGCTGTTGTCGGACAACATGGATCACCTTAAAGAAAATACGAAGCCGATTCCAGATGGATGCTACCGTTGGATATCATTGATCAGCTTCCAAAAAAAAAACGTTCCCAGTCCAGACGAATGTTAAAGTTCATGATCATCGATCGCCATAAAAAATATACCACGCCGATACCAGATGATGTTAACATTGGAGATCGTGCACATCACGGGGGTCATGCTACAACACGCACAAGCGCGACCCCCTCGCCCCCCAAACACGTCATTAAACGTTACACCCATCGAAAAAGCCCCGGCAAGCACGGCCACAAAAGGAAAAAGGGGACGAGGCCTCGACATCAATGTTGCCACGCCCATCGGAAACGTGTTCCAAGTGCCGCCAACCTTCGCAACAACGGCGACGGAGGCAGACAGCAGTGCCTCTCCACCTACTTCTACTACGCAGCCACCGCAAGCACTGCAACATTCTGTAAGACTACCCTAGGTGGCATGTGAGATATAACACCCCCTGGACCCGATTTTCATTTGCTCGATTACTGCATCACAAACAGAGGATGGCAAAATCGAATGATACGTGCATGAGTCGGAGAGCCCGTTTCTCACCTACTCGACAGTTTGCCTTTCCACCTACTGTTGTATGTATGACCGCGCGCAAAGGACGTCCGCCATGAACCAAGTCAAAGGCACGCCTCTCCAACTACTACATAGCCGCGCGCAATGCGCCAACTCAGAATAGTTCGCCTTCCGACAAACTAGCTGACGACTTGAACCCGCGAACAAGCCCACTAATCAAAGCCGGTTGGTTACCTTCTCCGCCTCCTCCCCGTCCCCTCCCTTAAGGAGGGTCTCCGCCAGGATGATGTGCGTTTCCGGGCACCCCGGCCTGTCGGCAATCGCCTGAGCGGCGCGACGGGGGGGGGTACTCTTGTTGCATGCCTTTGCGGTTAGACCATTGACCACGGGTCCTCGAGAGGACGGAGCAACCGATCACCGATGGTCAACCGTTCCTTCGTACATTTACCAAAGGTGGGTCAATTTGTTTTCCCTATCCTATCTATCCGCTGTCCGGCGGGGGGGGTATGATTGAAAGCCGGACGGGGTCATTGTAGGGGCATGTGTGAGTTGAGAGGATGGAGGGTGGTGGACAGGTAGGTCACGCGGATAGGGCGTGGCGAGCAAAGGGAAAGCAGGCGACGTTGGGGGGCGGGGGGCTTGCTACTTGAGCCCAACCGTGTTTGTGAGGGGTTCGGACATTTGAAACGCGCCTGCGTGCGAGAGACAATAATGAAGACGCTGGAGCGGGGCGGGCCGGGGTTGAAACCACGACCCTCCCCCCCCCCTCCCGCAGACAAAGAAAAAGCTCCCGTTGAGAAGATGCGAGCGAATAGGCATAAACAGACTTGAAATTAGCCCAGTATCCAGCCGCTTCTTCTTCCACTCACTGGGAACATTTTATTTAGCACAGCCCCTTCGACTGCTGTGGTTTTATCTCGAACGGGCAGTGTGTCTGCGCATTCAATGTGTATTTATTGCAGATGAGACCGAGATCGTAGCGACAAAAAAAAAATACAAGAGAACTCGGCCGAGTGACGCAGGTCGACCTACTGACTGCAGTGTGCCCCTGTCCTGAAACATTGCTCTGTATGCTATGTATACATGCAAATCCAACCGGACGCTCGATGGTGGCGACGAAGGAAGCATTCGAGAGCATCCAGCCAAAACAATTAGGGCGGTGAACTCGAACTCGTTAAAAAATAAAGAAGACTACTCGTGTCGGTGACGTTTACCACGGCAACCAGACTCCACGGTACTTTATGGACAGCTGTACTTTTTTGGGCGGTAACTGGCCTGACAACGTTCCCTGATCGCGGCGGGTCCTCAACACCGGTTGAAAGAAGAAGATGATGTTATGTACCGTATGCATGAACGCTTTGCTGAGGCGGGATCGAGTGATTCTTGGACATTCCCTGACTGCCCGCAGGTCCTCAACAACGGTTGAGATAACAACAAGATGCAATGTACCGTATGCGTGGATACCTTCCTGAAGTGTTGCCGTGCAGTGTGCATGCGCACATACCTGTCTGAGGCTCTCAGAGGCTAGATCGATCGTCTGCTTCGCCGGAAGCATCTGCCTAGCCCTGATCATGTCCATCGCCGTCGAGAAGTCCATCTCTATCTTGCCTCCTTCGCCCTTTCCGTCGCGTCACGGGGGGGGGGGGGGGGGGGGGGGG